TAATATAGTATGGAAAAGAAAGCTTGAATGGCTATGCCCACCCCCTTCAATGAAACGTCTGATGACCTTTTTTTCTTTTATTTTGCCTTTTTAGTATGAATTATTAAGATCATACTTTAAATTCATAGCAAAAAAATACACTGAATATCCTTTAAGTACATGTATATGTTTATCAAACAGCTCCCATACAAAACTGTGGTCCCGACGCGAATTTATGATCTCCCGATTTGTTATCTACGAGTTTTTGGCGATATTAAGTATTCGCATTAAATAAGGAATCTACACTATTTGGATGAACTACTCCTATCAGTCGTAGACAAATCGATTAGTTCTGTAATAGCAGATGACATAACGAACAATCTCAGAAATCAAGAAAAGAATAATTTGAATCATGATTAAGTCAAAACACGGACCCCTGGAAATTCCATTGGTGGTATCAGGTGCCTAGGAGGAGAAAGCATCCCTTGTCGAACGGTCCCACCAGCCGTGCTCCCTATGTATTGATGAGGTAGACGAAGTGATTTGTAGTCAAATTTCGTGTAAATTAAATAATGACCTAAAATTGGTATGGAACTTCTCAGACATAATATCACCCAACCGTAGGTCGTATTTGCAAACAATGTCATAATGATAACTAAAGATTTTGCGAAATGCTAACTTTTAAGGAGGTTGTTGAACTCTCTGTAATACTACTTATTTGACAGTAGTCTGCCTCAGTGTAAAAATTGATAATAACTCAAAACATGCTCCCGCGTATCGAATCAGTCGAGAGACAGAAATACCACTTGCATGTGATGTTTATGTAATATTTCTACATAAATAAGGAAAATGACGATGGAAAAGCTGAAGACATCTCGTATGTCATACAGTTTAATTGCTGGTTTGCCATTATCGTCTATAGTCAGTAAAATATCCAAATGGGATACAGATGTGCATTATGTAGCAGACTCTGAGGGTTTTTTTTTTCGGGTTCACTGGGATATTTTTCCCCGGGTTCACTGGGATTTATCGAGTCGACATACATGTAACTATGAAAATAACAAAATATAAATTGATAAAACGTCGTCGATATATCTTAATGTCGTGCTGAAGGTCACAGCAAGTTTTCTTCTTCTCATGTAGAGGTTTTTGAATATTCTGCTTCGTAGGGATATTAAAACAGGTCGGCTAATAAAGGAGCACAATTAGCGCCCATCGATTTCCAGCAAATTGGTGGTAGAACTAGTCTCCAGAGACTATATTGCTATTGTCAATGAGGAACCCAGCATCTTTTAAATATCAACTTCAGGGTACTTGTGTGTAGAATCAGAATTATTTTTATTAAAGTTATTTTGTAGATGACTAATAAAAAGATACGAAAATTAATGAAATCCATTTTTATTGAAGAAACATTTGTTCATGATATCAAATGAGCTCTTAAATTTATCGTGAGGAATGGCATAAAGTGTTAAAAAGTAATTTTTTTTATGTTATTTACTTTTGCAAATCTTTGTGATATTAAAGCAAAACATGTGCTTTAACGTCATATTATTATATATATAATATATTTGCATTTATCTCTAAGGTAGATTTTAATTAATGTCATCACAACAGGCAATTTGAGAGTATTCCATAAGCAAAACAATCCCCCTACCGGCATGTGAACCCTGTCTCCCTTTAAGAATTAAGGGTCTGCGTCCATGGGTTGTAGTTCGTTTAAAATCATTGAAGCGGAACGAAATTAAACTTGATCTGTAACTCATCAAAGTAGACTCACTTACCAAGATTAAGATCAATTTCTGCAAGCATGTAGAAAAATAGTCCGGAAAACCAAGAAAGATACGGACAGACAGACAAACAAACTCCCCACTGGTTTCAGCAGTAGGGGACTATTGAGTTATTTTCATGTAAACTGCATGTGTGAATAGCTGTGGTCAGGATCTAATGTATCCATTATCTGTGTTTTAATTTTTGAGATATGAGTTTTCCGAAAGTTCTTATCCAAAGTGTACCATCTGAGTTTGCTGTCGTTTAGAAAATTTCCTTTTTTATTATCTGAATCTGAAGTAAAAAGCACATATTTAGTATATCATACAATAACGTCTTCTCGATTTTGTAACAGGTGGCATTGTGGCAAAACTGATGTTGATAAGATATATTACAGTATCTACAGGGACAAATGAATTGAGAATTAAGTAAGTTTTTGTGTTTCTTTGGAACATAATTAGAAAATTTTGTTTTTACATATTTTTTGGAACTTATCTATGATACTGGAAAAATAAAACTAAATACATATTACTAATTTTTAATATGAAATTATATATCATAAATGATAAAACATTATTATAATATTATCATTATTAATTATTTTGTTTTTAAAAAAATACTCTTATTTTATTTTTAAAAACTAGTGTTCAAACATGGTTCGTAAACTCCTCGTAATGAGGTTATCTTTAGTTATGTTTTATGAAGATATGGTCAGAAAAATTGTCGAATTGCTACATCATACCATTATTAAAAACAAAAGTCCCAACATGTCTGTACTTTTGAAGAAAAAAAAATCAATATAGACTATCAAAACCACAGTGATGTCGACACGAATTTTACATGAATATATTAGATAGAGTAAGTTTGAAATCCTTTGTCAAAGAAAGATAAAGAGATTACTCTTCAATGGTTTTTTAATAAATATTTTTATTTATTTATATTTTTTATTAATTTTTTTATTTATTATCATTATTATTATTAATTTTATTATTATTAACTTCTATGAATTTAAAAATCGATGGGCCGATCAAGGAGGGAGAAACTCCATTTAATATCCTTGGACCTCATAACCCCTCCCTGAACAAGGAATACCCGAATATTTATCAGGAAATTTTCAAGACTTATCATATCTATATTATTATTATTATTATAATTAATATTATTATGTGGATTCTTAAACTTCATAAAAATCCTTACAAACAATGATATAATACCGGGTCCAGCAAATGCTTACCAAGCCCCTATTTTCAATCCTTACCAAATGTTAACTGCTTTTAAGGAGAAACTTAAGACGTACTGTCTTACAGCATACTCTAGAAGTTGTGTAAATCAGATGTGAATCCTCAAAAACTCCAAAGAACTTTTAGAAAATCTGAACTCACAAAATTTTTCAGTAGTCTACAACATCAAAACGTACGACTTTTCTACACTTTATACAACCATACCTCACGATATCTCACGATAAATTAAAAACTGGTCTTTTTGATATCATAGACAACTGCTTTTTCAGTAAAAACGGAATTCTGGAATTTTTACATCATCAAATCACTCTGATTCTACACACAAGACAGTATTCTGAAGTATTCTGAAGCTGATATTAAAAAGATGCTGGAGTTCCTCATTGAAAACATTTATGTAGTCTTCGCAGAACAAGTCTTCCAACAAAATGTTGGAATTCTAATAGGCACTAATAGTGCTGCAGCTCCTTTATTATCCGAACTGTTTTAATACTCACATGAAGCAGAATTCATTCAAAAACTTCTACATGAGAAAAAGATGACACTCGCCGTGTCCTTCAACATTCAGATCTATCGACGACGGTTTATCAATTAACAATTAACGTTATTTCAATTTATATATCGACTCTATTTATCCCAGGAACTTGAAATAAAAGAAAGACACCACAGAGTCTACCACATCTGCTTCATAATTGGATGTTTTACTGACTATAGACGACAAAGGCAGCCAACAACTAAATTGTATGACAAACGAGATGACTTCAGCTTTTCCAACGTCAACTTTCCTTATTTATGTACTGTAATATTCCGCTATCACCTGCATATGGTGTTTATTTCTCCCAACTTATTCGATACTCAAAAGCATGATCTGTGTACGATCAGTTTTTAAACCGAGGCAGGCTACTCACACATAAGTTGATGTAACAGAGATTTCAACAACCTCGTTTCAAGTCAGCATTCCATAAATTATATGGTCCTTATAATGAATTTATAAGCAAATATAACATATCAATGTGTCGTGTTTTGGCTGACGTGTTTCTTACCAATTGTCAGACCTTTGTTTTTATACTTAATATGACTACAGAATGTTCCGTCTACTTAAAGCTCACGGCGGGTGTGACCGGTCAACAGGAGATACTTACTCCTCCTACGCACCTGTTCCCACCTCTGGAATATCCAGGAGTCCGTGTTTATGCCCTATTCACAGATTTGTATTGTTTAAAGTATTTATAAGATCAATCACTGCAATATTCATCCATTCTCATTTATTTAACTTTAGATATAGATTGTTAAAACTGTCCTCTAGGATCGGGTTTCGACAAAAAGTGTTTTGCTATAATTGCATGGTTTTTTTATGTTTCAGCATTTGTCAAAACAGTTTAACCAGCGCAACTTCCTGTCCCTCAAAATCAGTACTGAAGTGCTCTGTAGAAACAACTGCTAAAGATACAGGTTTATATTTGTTTAAAGTGTTGTTAATTGCTGTTAATATTATAAATAATGATTTATTCATGAGAGACTTGAAAAGCAAACACATTTTTTATTGACATGGTATTAGGGATCAAATAAACAAAAAAGCTGTTTAAAACAATAAAATGGAAATTCTGCAAAGCTTTAAGGCTCCTAATAAACATATATCGGTATTCCTATTCTTAAGGACAGATGATCCAAACAAACTTTCATAAAACAATCTTGAAAATAGCAACTTAAGTCATGTTTATATTAGTAAAAGAATATGTTTAACCGCATAGATTTTAAAAAAATTATTCAAAGTTTCACAATCTAGGATTTAAAATGATTAGAAGGATGATTGCAGAAAGGTAGAATTTTGAACATCGTGGAAAGTTAACAATTTTTTAATGTTTTAGAAATTTATTATTTGCATCATTTACAACCAAAATAGGTCCAAAAATGTTTACCAATCCAGGCACCTATTTTTTTGTATCATCTGTCCTTAGATTTAAAGCAAATGATTGTATTACTTTTTATCTTAAATTTTCTTTTTATACATATAGATGGCAATGTTTTGTTGACCAATTTACAAGACCGACTAGAGCAAACACAATGCAGGCTGAAGACACAAAGTAATGGAAGTAGGACCATGGATTGCTTCACACTCAGTAATATCTTTGCTTTATGCTTTAACAGTAAATTCGGACTGTGAATTTCCAAGAAAGAATTTTCTGAAATAAAATGCAAAATTTCCCTGTAATCTTTCTTAAGATCCACAGAATTGTTTACCGACATACTCATAAGTATAGATTTGCGATTGTCCGTTGAATGAGTAACATTCAGTTCAAATTAACGTGCTGTAATTCTCTTTAGATGTCCCTTCTGTGTCAACATCAACTTCACCAAATTGTGTTGAAAGTTCACCACCACGGGTGGAAAATGGTAAAGGGATAATGATCATTCAGTATTTTACAATTATACTTATTGAAAATAAGAAGATACTTTGATACAATAGACATAAGGTTAACTTAAAAGGGATATATTTATGCCAGTAAAATACCTTTTTTTCCTCTCCTTTTTTTTATCCCTGCCTTATTGAACTGTTGCTTTTCTATATGAGCATTGGTTGGGGATATTTATTTTATTTCAATTCAAATGCATGTAACCTTATAAAGGAGATAGGACGGAATTAAAACAAATTAAAGAGACACGATCGTTATTATCAACATGCAATTTATTATTTTTAGAGAATAAAATAGAGAAGAAAACCACAGAAGTCTATCGTATTTCAATAGCTCTGGCAGGTTTTGGCGGGATTGTGTTTGGTGCTGCTGCAGCAATATTTACCATGTCTGCTGTAGCGAAAAGGAAGCAAATCAAAAAGAGGTTATCTTACAGATAATCATAATTTGTGATATACATGTATTATCTTTAGTTTTTAGTACATACACTTTGTATGTATAGCACAAACAGTATGTTCTACATTACTTGGGGAAAATATATATATGTTCATTAGTTTAAAATATTTTTTTATAAGGAAGGGGGCCTCCTTTATAAATGCTACGTACGAACATAGTGATTTTGTCATTCCCGCAACAGTGTCAACAGTGTCCGGAAACATAGTAACAGAACCAGATGTAGGTATACACTATATACATATTCTTCATATTTCTTTAGATCTGTTTCATATTTGGATGCTTTATTAGTCCCCTACCGGTGAAACCGGAGGGGACTATAGGTTTCCTCTGAGTCTGTCCGTCCGTCTGTCCGTCCGTCTGTCTGTCTCTCTGTCTGTCTGTCAGTCTGTACCACTTAGTTTTCTGCACTTTTTTCGTAAAAGCTTGCAGATATTGAGCTGATTTTTGGTATGTGAGTGTATCTTGATGAGTTACAGATCAAGTTTGCTTTTCGTTCCGCTTCATTGATTTTTGACGAAATTACGACCTCTTCAATTTTTATGGGTTTTCCTCATTTTTTTCTAAACGCTTGCAGATATTGAGCTGATTCTTGGTATGTGACTTTACCTTGATTACTTATAGATCAAGTTTGCATTTCGTTCCGCTTCAATGATTTTTGACGGAATTATGGCGTTTTCAATTTTTAACGGGAACCAGATTACACTTGCCGGTAGGGGACTAGTATTGCTAATGCAATACTCTCAGAATGCTTGTTTATGTAGTAATATTACATTACCTGCAAATGGTGTGAATGTTTCCCAATGTGAATGTTTCAAGAACATGCTCTGAGTACAATTAGCTTTTTTTTAAACCGAAGCAGGCTACTGACAAATAAATTATGTCACAGGGATTTCAACAACCTCGTTTAAAATCAGAATTTCGTAACTTTTATGGTAGATGTAATAACCTTGTTAGCGAATAGAACCTATCACTGGGTCATATTTTGACTGATATATTTCATACCAATTTTTAGCCCTTTGTTTTCGTAAATTTGAGATTATTTCGTCTACCTGATAAATACATAGGGCTCACGGCGGGTGTGAGCGGTGAATAGGGAATGTTTACTCCTCCTAGGCACCTGATCTCAACACTGGAATTTTGAGGGGTCCGTGTTTTATGCTTTGCTCACAGATTTGTGTTGTGTGTTGATTTTCTGAGATTGATAACAGTTCGTTATATTCGCCTTTTTCATTAAAACCTCTCTTTTCACCTTTCTTTGTTATCAATGAATATAGTTGAGGAATACATTATTATTTTTAGTCCATTCATTTTTTGCTCTTATTGTGAGGAAAAAGTGTTTGTTTTTCAAAAGACATAGGCCTAACATAGAATTTGTTTTTATATTTAATTATGTAATAGCATTATCTTTCAGCTTTTGATTGCGAATTGTCTCTATATATGAAATGCAGTGATACTGTGCATTCGAGTATTATTTCATATGTAAATTGTATACTGTAATTCATTAAAGGAAAACATAGCTAATTTACTATGATAATTATAAGGATGTCATAAGTAAATTATCATACTTGTGATTTATGTAGAACAGATTCAAGCTGAAGATCCCCATTGTGATACCTGCACTTCTTAAGAAATAATTAAGTATAATTATTGTTATTATCCTTGCCCTATTCGTCCGTCTGTCACATTACAATGTATCTTCTTCCTCAAACTCAACACTTTAAATGGAAGCAAATTCATCTATTGGAGCGTGATTGGTGGTGTCCTGTAGTTGTGCAATAAGGTTTTGGAATTTTCATAGGGGAGGCCATTCGGGAGCAAAATACATCTTCTACAATAAACGTGTTTCCATAATTCTCTTTTACATTTTACTCAGTAGCCAATAATCTTTTAGAAAATTGTTGGCACTGTCATATTATTTTAGAAATTTATGGTCGTTTATTTTTCTTGATGAGATATTGATCTTTCCTTGTCCTGCCTCAGAAAAATATTAAGAATCTTTTTAACACCACATACATGTATTAGTAATTATTGATCGTTTGTCAACAGTATAATTACTGACGTTTTTTTCTCGTAAACTTCTATCACACAGCCTCATCGGTTACGGAACGGCAATGAACCCACGAACGAAAAGGGAAGTCATCTTCCCGGAAAAATACAATAAAACAACTTCCGTAGTGAACCATCAAATACAAAAGGTCCTTAACTTACAAGAGTTACTGACAAGAAATGCAGAGGTAACCAGAGAATAACTAAAGAAGAAACAATTAAAAATCAACTCCAGAGGTCGCTGCAAAGGAGAAAAGAAATTGGGAACAATTAAATAATTGCACTAGGGTACTATTTTTGCTTTAAAAACATTGTTGTGATTCAGCAATGAGTGTGCATGTATGATATATATACGTATACTAGATTTACGGTGTATCTCAAGTGTTTTGTACATCAAAGGTTAATTTCCAAATCACATTGAAGAAAAATGTTGTTCGAATTAAGTACGTAACTTGAACTGTTTTGTTTGTTTGTTTGTTTGTTTGTTTGTTTGTTTTTTGTTTGTTTGTTTTTTTTTTTTTTTTTTTTTTTTTTTTTTTTTTTTTTGATTTATTTTAATCATTTTACATTGGCATTACTGATACAGTAAATAAATTATTACAATTAAGAAATGTGTTAAATGTCTAGAATATAATTAAGATTATTAATTCCGAGGGAAGGGGATTATTTTTCCAAGTATATGACCAAATTATTTGATGACAGTGTACCAATTGAAAAGTATGTATTAATGTACTCAATTATATCCTAGGATTCTTCTGACGGTTTCTGATATATACTTTGAACCGCATGTGTTCTTCAAAGTAACATTTATGCATGAATCTGTAATCAAATTAAAAACAATGTAATGCGGATTTGATGAAGAAACACCATTTGAACTTCAAATTGAATGGGTTTTTTTCAAGAAAGTAAAATAGCTCCTCGCGTGTTAACACTAGATTTTCTACCTTTCATTACATACATGTTACATCTTTGTTAAAAAAGAATTCCGAGAGTATTGCATAAGCAATACTAGTCCCCTACAGGCAAGTGAAATATCTGGTTTCCTATAGACATTAAGGATAAATAACGCAAAGATACTTTTTTTCAGAAATCAGCAATATATCTATTAGATTTTTCTTTCATAAATTAGATAATCTAAATAATAAAGTTTTGTAAGATTTTTTAATAATGTCAAAAAATTATATAGATTTATATAGTAAATGGCACAAAGTGGTATATTTGAAAACCAAAGAAATTTTTTAATCTGTAATTTGACAAACTATATACACTCCAAACATGAAACAGTTCTCTGTGGCATACTAGTATTACGATTAATGTATAGCCCAATTTTCAATATCATTGGGTAATGTGATTAAAATACTTTACTGCCTTTGAAGTTAGTACCTCAGTTTTTATGCTCTGTTTATAAATTTGTATTGTTTATTCATTTTTTGAGATTGATCACTATTTGTTATCTTCACCTATTTCATCTGAAGTGAGTGACAGTTACATCTCTTACAAAAGAAGTTAAATTTAGCAACGGGTGAGCTTTGTTCAGGAGAGATTTTCAATATGTAGAATAGCGATATCTCTCTCTATCAACTAATTTATATCTGACTGTTGACCCTGACTTTTACTGTGTTTTGATGTTCGTATTAAGACCAAGAATCTTATCTTTTTATATTCAGAAGGTTTCCGGAGACGACACTTTCTTGTAATGCATAATTATGATGTGTTTCCGGTTTACTATTTGATATTATAATTCCATAATTTTCGTAATATGAATTTAAACTCTACGAATTCTTTTCAATGAGACTGATCACTTTCCTACTATTAAGAGATGTGTTTTATAGAAGTCTAGGATGTACAATGATTCATTTTTAAATATCGACAAACTCTTACATTGTAGAATTCCGAAATTTTGGTAAGAGTTATAGCTCTTTGTTGTGTTTTGTCGTGATATTTTATCATACTTTAAAGGTGCTTGGACACAGATTTGAAGTTAATATTTTCTCAAATTTTCTGTATAATTTCATGACTTATATGTTGCTATAGCATTTCATACTAAAATATAATAAAAATCTTATTTCATCTCGAAGTTATTGAAACTTCAAATTTCTGGACGCGTTTGATTGACAAATCCTTGCACTTTCACTAATTTTAATTTTATTCTTAATACTGAAGAATAGTGACAATTTTGTTGTGTATTAATGAAAAATATTAAAACTATAATCCAGAAAATTCAGAGTAGAAATGTTCGAAAGCAATTCCCCACTCACAGTATTGTCAGTCCGTGCTCAGTGGTGTGTGCAGACTATAACAATTGAACACACTCGATGAATCGTAAACATTAACAATAACAGAGCTCGTGCCCTGTTAACAAAAACAGTTTACGTTTCACGGGTGTATTCAATTTGTTAAACTCTGTATACAACACTGAGCACGGACTGGCGTTATTAGTGAGGGGGTTTGCTTTCGCACATTTCTACTCCGAATTTTCTGGATTATAGATGTAATATTTTTCATTAATACACAACAAAATCGCTTCTTTTCTTAAATATTAAGGATAAAGATAAAATTTGTGAAAGTGCAAGGATGTGTTAATCAAACGCGTCCAGGAATTCGTAGTTCCAATAATTTCCAGATAAAATAAGTTTTTTTATTATATTTTCGTGTGAAATGCTATTGCAATATGTAAGTCGTAATATTATACAGAAAATTGGAGAAAAATATTAACTTCAAATCTGTGTCTAAGCACCTTTAATCAGAATATTTGTTGAATATTCCATATCCTCATTTTGAATAATATTACCATAAATGTATCATTTTTACCCTATTTCAATTTAAAATGTCTCTTTTATATATCTATTCCTTTCTCCCAATTAAGAGTTTTATTGAAGGGAAATTCATTATTACTACCTCATAAAATAGATTTTTT